CGACAAACAGCGAAAAAGTCGCTGGCGGTGTGAACGGGGCTTCAGTATCCGCGAGTGATTACCTAGCCAGGTTCGCCGCTCCCTCTGATGGAGCCTGCATGGTCTCTTGGTGGATCAGAAATTGACGATGATGACCAACTGTTTTCCTGCCTCTTTTCATAAGGCAGTGTAAGTTGCTTACACTCTAACCACTCTATATGCCAAGCGCTTCCGCCACTCGTTGCTAGTGATGTCCGATTCTTGAACGAATCGTTCTTTTAAATCGGTTCTCAGGAAGAAATTGAACTGAATCGAACTCGATGACGCAAGACTCAGCCGCAGTAGCACGTCCGACTCGAAAAAGAATCGAATAAGTCGGTTCAACCAACTGTCGAAGTTTGCCGAGGATTACCGAGGATTCTGATGAGTGCGTTGCTGACATTATGCATGCGCGTTTATCACCGAGAACTTGAACGAGCCTGATGCGCAATAAGAAACAAAACGCTCTGGAAATATGCTTATGACTAGTTTTATTAAATAGGCCTACATTTTTGTTAAAACACAGAATAACCTGAATTTTACAATGGTTTATTGTGCATGCAGGTTATATTTTAAGTTGTTAAACTACATCAATGAGTTTATAAGGCTGATTTATTCTTTCTATGTATTGTATTAGAACATATCTTTGTTTATGCATCAATGTCTGTAATGTGTGCTGTAGGTGCGAAACTTTTAGGAAACTTATCCAAGATGTAGGCTATTCAATATTGGTCAGTCATGAAGGATCTGTGAATGAAACTGTGACTACAACATTAACTTAAGTGAATGAAAGGCAATAATCGGCAATACACCTTCACACAAGAAATGCATACTGACATCATTGTGAGATGACTGGAACCAATTAATCATTTTTTTGAACCGATTCGTTGAGCCAAACTGTCCGAATAAAACAGTTGGCGGAAAGCAAGCGTCCGCACTAGGGTATTTCTATAAGGCAATCTGATTGGCTGATGCCTGAGTTGGTGCTTGAAAAGTTTAAAATTTGTAAACTTCTGCCACAAACAACGCCAGTGGCACAACGCAACGCACCCACACGCTCAGTGCCATTTTCTCAGAATCTTTCTGCTTCATCTTTTAAACTGCTAGATCCTCTTCCGTCGCTGAGTCGTTGCCGGTAAGTGGTTTATTCTAAGCTAATCCCCTTGTGCGTTCTGATGAGACTGAAGATGTTTGGTGAGTATGACAGTTTCTTTCAGCTGTCCTCAGTGAAGTGATTAGGGTGACCATACGTGCCATTTTCCCAGGACGCGTCCTGGCCAGGATTTCTATATTGCCTAAAGTATCTAGGTTTTGGCTTTGCGTGTGCATACCGATCGGTGTATGACATCAAAATACCATACAGACGGTTCCTTATGCTTTCAAAATGCTCTCGAGGGATTTTGATGTCATACACCGAGCAGTATATCAGATGTTCTAGATCAGGGGTGT